TTTTCCTCAAAACACACAATTCACTCACAACCCAAGACTGTTATTCTTTATCCTTCCAGTTGGTTTTATCACGAAGCAATCGAACACTTAACCGAGGCTAATGAGGATAGAYTTCTAACCGTCAAACTCTTCATGGACGAAACGACGAGAAACAAGTTCAAGACCAAGTTGGAGACCTTCTATCTCGRTAATAGACATTATTGCCGTCTGAAGTTAAATAGATGATAAAAGCTTAAAAATAYATAAGCATTTAAAAAAAATAGGTGTGTAACCACAAAAAGCGTAAATTGAATTTGTTTGTTGCTCATTCTTGATTGAATTCGAACGCGGAATGGAATTAATGGAATCGACTGAAATTTTCCTTCGAAAATCATAAGTGTCCTTATTTTGAGTGTTGTGATTTTCGCACACCTTGTACCTTGTACTCGATCTTTCTCACTCTTGAGAGGGACGCCTTCTGTCGATGTAATTTTTAAATTAGCTTACTAAATCATTGTAAAATTAGCTACTCCGCACTCCTTCAACACTCTTCAGAGGGACGCCTTYTGTCGATGTAATAAAATATTTGGTGGTGAGTATGGATGAGAACTCGTACTGTCTCGATGAATGCAGACCAAGTTTAAAAAAAAAGTTCTACAACAAGGACTGGATGAGTCTGTCCCTTGAGTTTGTCACATCCATACAGAATCTACTTTTCATCATTTTTTCAAACTAGAAGTGGTAGGAATTGAGAATATGGAAACTATATGGGTTTCAAAGCGAAGGCTTAGATACATACGGATCATGAGGACTACATCCCGGGCGGAGCGAGGTACACTTAAAATACAGTAAATGTATGTAAATTGGGCTGTGAGGGGGCCGTAAAATGCACTCTACGCCCGCGTTTTAGCTTTTTTTCAAAACACACCATTTAAACACMAGCCAAGCTCTGTTATTATTTATCCTTCCAGTTTGTTGTATCATGAAGCAATCGTACACTAAACCGAAGCTAATGAGGATGGATTTCTAGCCGCCAACTTCATCATGGACGAAGCGACGAGCATTAATGTCTGAAGATAATTTGATGATAAATGCTTAAAATATATCAGCATTTTTATAAAATAGGTGTATAACCACAAAAAGACTAAACTGAATGATTGATATCTATCARTTTATAGTTTTATACAATTTTTGCCTTAAATTTTCCTTATTGATGTTATCAATTCATAGTTACATACAATTTTCAATAACATTTTCAATACATTTTCAATCAATATATAATAATTCCATGCTCAATGATAATGTACAATACCTTTGCTAAGGTAACTGCAGGCAAGTGAAATAATTTGTAAATAATTAAGGATAATTGATTGGTTCATCGATATTAAAGATAAAGTAATATAATTATTTAGTATCTTTACACAAGTGAATATAACAAATCCGGCGCGCTCATTGGTCACAATTTACGTCTAATGCTGCTATATTCACCACTCGCGCACGCGCACGCTCGTTTGTGGATTTGTGCCGCTCTCACAAAGATAATTAAAATTAGATTGAAAAGACAAAAATACTCTCTCTCCGTTAAATTCACTTGTGTTAAAAAATACTATAAATGTCGAGCGGCGAGGWAAATATTCCCCGATTATATTCACTTCGCCTTCAGCGAATAATTGTTAAGTTAAATATGGATAACAAGAACTTCATTCAAATAGTGAAAGTAAACAAAAAAATAATTCAATCCGTTTGTAAATCTCGAAACGTCTCGATCCAAGAACTAGCCGGGAGTTTGAGATCATCTAGGATTAGATCTCATCTACTAGGGATATTTTCAATAAATAATCTTATGGTTACGAATGCACTGAATTTGGTATAAATAAGCACGAGAAAAGTAATTTGAATGCCTTGAATTTGAATGCCTTGAATTTGAATGTTTGCATGCATCTGTATTCTTGAATATGTTTGAAATTAATATTTATCTGGAGTTACCTTAGTCTACTCGATCGGGACAATTAAGTCAATAATTTATTAATGTCCTTTAATCTATCTTGGATCGGTTCAATTTCCAAACTAAAAGTGTTTTCTTCGGCTATATGCAATGCTTGTTGTGCCAAGCTTTTGGCTTGGAGAAAATCCTTTGTTCGAAAGCATAGGTCGCTCTTTGCTACGTAGAGCTGTATAGATAGCGCTTCACTGATGTCACCTTCGTACTCTTCCATCTTCTTGATGCATCGTTCAGCTTCCTGGATACTTTCTTCCTCCACTGGTTGGGTGCGTGATGTCTTTGTCCGACAGTTAAGGTTCATTAACGCCAATTTAACCAAGCTGAATTGTGGTCTCTGGAGATAAATGGAGCTGTTTGTTTCATGTATTCTCTGTGATAATGTAATACACTCTCTGAGGCTCTTACTGGCGTCTTCTTTCATAATTTGCCATGGTTCGTCTTCATCAACGTTCATTAGGGACAGCGTCTTAGTCAAGTTACTAGCATGTTCATAAGCAATGAATACTCTAGCTATACTAAAAGGAGTAAACTCCTCGTTTTGCTTAGCAGTGGAAACAAACTTATTTGCCTCTGTCAGCCTGTTTTGGCGTCTGCTTAGTCCTGTGAGGTGGACATGTGAATAGGCTGTCAGAAAGTTCTTCATTTCGACCCCTAGGTTGTTCGATATCATCTTCATTGCTTCATCAATAATCTCCTTTGACTTCGTAAATTCTTTTTGGTAGCTCAGAGCCATACTCTTTTCTATCAATATAAGAATTTGTATATGTGGTTCACTTGATCCTGCAAAGCCTTCAGCCACGATGTAAAATTCTTTGAACCTTCCTTTGTCCCTCAAAGGATGAAGACGGTTGATGATGTCTTGAAAGGCATACATGAATTTCTCGAAATTTTCGTCCGCTGTAACCTTCAGTGACTTTTTAGGAGAAATTGATGGATAAGAGCCATCTGCTTCTACTTCTTCGATGTCTGCTAGCTCATTTTTATTTTCTTTTACACAATTGCAAATATTAATCTTGGTATTATTCCCAACGACGAGGTACCCTGCGTTCTCAGCGATATTAATGTTAACGTTCTTCTCAATCCTAGTGATCGTACAATGCCCGCCGCCGCCATGAACCAGCTTTCCCCGTTTTGCAGCACTAGAAGAAGCTTTTCGTTTACGACAAGGATAAGCTATCTTAGACTGAGTACTTGAAAGTCTTGTACCAGTCTTTGGATCTGATGGGACGGATCGTTTTGATAATTCCTCCCAATGATCAGGAACTCGGCCACCAAATTCGAGAGCACGACAGGTTGTAGTTTTGGCGCCAACGGTCCAACGGTGTTTTGTCGAAAAAGATAAGTTTCTATGATCTTCTTTACGTGCGCTGCTGTCTGGTGTGGTATAAAAACTGTGACTGGCACCATAAGATGACATTTCATGCAAATTTATCAGTGTCGGGCTATCAATCTTTTCTATGTACATTTTTTTTTTTGTCGAAGTCCTCTTGGCCCCCTTTCTTCCTCTTGACACTAGAGTTTTTTTCATGCCGTCATTCTTGACTCCACCAGCTACACCGCCATTGCCCAGTGATTCATTGTTAATAGTGTTTATAGATGTTGGATGCTCGTTCATTATAGCAGTAAAACCATCAGAAGGTGACGTGTCTGGCGATTCTTCTAATTCTTGATCTCTCGCCGTTGAAATGTCGTTCTCGTCTTCATCGTGGCTGAGCTCCATACCCTCCACCGTTAGCTCCCCCATTACTTTTGACATCAACTATAGGGCTTTTAAAAATCACCACTGTTAGCTAGTAAACTGAAATAGAAGAGTGAATCCAGGTAAGATTGCTTACACAACCAAATGAATCCACCTTCGATAAAAACAGGAGCGAGCAAGTACGATTTTATACACGAACCGTGATGACACGGGGAATCCCCTGATCTATGACGTTACAACTGTCCTTATTGGTCTACAGATGGCGTGTTCATTGTTCCTTTGTCAAAATAATCGACTACTCGACCAATCACAACTCAGTTCTCAGAGATAGAAGTGAAAACAACAAACACATGCTGAGACACACTACGAGGTTTATAACTGAGCTAGTTTTCTTTTTTGTTACCAGTAAAGTTAGAAACAGCAGATTGTTGCGATGAACGTGATATCATTTCCTCGAGCGTGGTCATTGTAACTATCACAGTGCACCTCATTTCGGAAAATCCGTATCTACTTATGAATGATTTTATTGACCGCGTAATATAGTTATAGTTGCTGACAGCAAAGTAACCTGCTTGACAGATAGTCCATAGTTGAAATCCTGCAACACTATAACAAGACTTGTGGATGAGGTATAGTGCCGGAATGACTTATAAATTAGTGTTCTAAATATTCATTTCAAAAAGCTGATTCATGGAGACGTTCGTTTAGGTGCATGCGGAAACTTGGAAGACCACGAGGGCGGATCCAGCCAAGATTTTAGGGGGGGGGGGGCTAATTGAGTTTAGGGGGGGCTAATTGAGTTTCTTCCGTCAAAACGACGGAAAACAATATAAAAAAGCATCGTTTTTTCTGCTGTAGGGGGGCTTCAGCCCCCCTTTGCCCCCCCTGGATCAGCCCTTGGACCACTCACCGTTCAGTTCGTGTCGGCAACCATATAACTGTACAATGGTCTACGGTGCACATCGCTTTCTTGGCTCAATCGTAAGAAGGAGCGCAATCAATGTTCATACGCGTAATGCAGACAACCATAGCTGCACAATCTTCTCTTCGCAATATACCGTTCACGTCGCTTTCCTGGAATCAATCTTAAGAAAAGAAGGAATCTAGTCAGGAATTTAGCTCACATATCTCAGTTGCATTTGCAAGCCTCCGATGTTGATGCTCCTCTAGCAATTTCAGTCTTTCCTGAAGTTCTTTGATTTCTAATTCAAACCCCCTCCTTTCTGATATCTTTAACGCTTCTTCAGCAAACACCATGGCCGTAGAATAATCTCCAGTACGGTATTTATAATCAGATTGAACCGTGAGCAACAGAATATTTGTGGCTTCGCTCATTTCCCCACTGTACAACTCTTGCATTCTTGTGATGCATTCATTTGCTTCACGGACACTGTCTTCGCTTACTGGCTGGATGCGAGCATTTTCATTCCGGCAATTTAGATTCATCAGAGCTAATTTTAGAAAACAAAAATGGTGGCGTCGAAGATAAATATCATCAGATTCGCTCAACAGTTTTTCACAAAGCGAAATACAACTCCTGTGATCTTCCCGGGTATCTTTCTCATATTCCTCCCGTTCTGGTTGTTGTGTTGACACAATAGATATATACATCGCTTGGTTGCTGGCCCTTTCGTACATGGCGTATGCTTTAGCGAGATAAGAGGGTACAAACTCTGCATTTTGTCCTGCTATTACAACAGCGTGGTTGGCTTTGAACATCTTTTGTTCACGTCGATAAATAGCTGCAAGCTGACAATGTGACATAACTGTAAGGAACTCCTTCATTTGTAGTCCTCGTGTGCGAGTTATCATGTCATTAGCTTGCTTTACTACCTCCATTGATTGTTCGTTCTTTTTTTGGTAACTTAAAGCAGTGCTCTTTTCAATTGTCATAAATATTTCCTCTTCAAATTGACCGTTTTGTCTCGCAAAATGGATCCTTTTGTCCACTGTTTCATAAAACTCTTCCCATCTCCCATTGTCTCTCAGTGGGTAAATTTGATTTGTAATTTCATAAAATTGATGAAGCCACTTCATGATGCTTCTATCCACGCAAACAACCATCTGCTTCGGTGGTGACACGGCTATGATCTCTGTTCCATCAGCAACAACTTGCTCACCCTCAAGATGCCGTATACGTGACGGATCCTCACTAGTACTTGCGTGACACGCTGCACTATCACCAATAACTATATTCCCGCTATTATTATCCACACTGATGTTCACTTCCTTAATTTTTTCCGAAGATGGCTTAACCTTCATCTTGCTTTTGCGGTTTGGAAACGGCAGTAAAGTCTGTCGCAGTCTTCTTTTGCTTTTTAATTTTGCCGATTTCTTTCGCTTTATGTTCATGGAACTGGCAAGACTACGGGCAGAATCAGGAAAAGGTCGCCGCGAAATTGTCCTTTCCCTTTCGGTTAAATTGCCACCTTTGTGTTCAGCTCCGCAACCCAAATCAATTATGACAGTACCAGTGTTATTGTAAATGTTAATAAAGTCATTCTTGCCTGACCTGATAATATTTGTTCCACTTTGATATTCCTCGTCATCTTCCATATATCTTGGCGCGCCTTTCTCGTCACTAGAAAAATTATCTGTTTCCATTTGACTTCCATGGCTACTATAACCAGATTTATTTAGACTTGAAACTCTTTCAATTTTTTGGTCTGTTGGATTTTCACTGAGTGATAACTGAGAGATACGACACAACTCGGCCGTCTCTCTTGATGTCTCCATTTCACCTCTCGTAGTCGTCTACTGTAATTTGAGAAGCAAGTTGACGATTATGACTTTTAAGTTAAAAATACCCCACTTTGCTAATACTCGGGTCGTGCTGGATGATGGGATTGGCCGTGTAGTTACCAGTCCACCCACGGGGCAAACGACGCCTGACCAAGAACTCCGATCGATGCCTAACTTTCTCATTTTAAGCTTATATATTGGCAAAAATAATTACTAGAGAAATGTTTATAACTTGATTTTATTTTTAAGCTTTCTACATTTTGTAAAACAATGATGTCTGAAATTGATCAAAGAAAGGCCCAACCCCCCCCCCCCCCTTCTATACAAAACAAGACGCCCTACAGGCGTTCACTGGGTTGCCTGTATCATGCAAAGAGGTTTCGTTGCAATGTTAGTCAAAAGATAATGGAATGGTTCACAGAAAGAATGATTTCGTTTAACTTGTCTAAGACGATCTTCTTCCTTGAGGTGTTCTCTACATGATATTAAAACATTTGCCCTTTTTAAGGCCACAAAATAAACAGTTTTGCGTTATCCATGTCATACTACTTGTGAATTTGCACTTGCGCCATGACGCAACAAGAACAAATATCCCAATGTTCTCTGTCATAATCACCAAAATAGTGCAATAGTACCCAGAAGTCTTCACGGCACCACCCACTATTCCGTTGCGGGCATATGATGATCCAAGTGCAGTAAATGTTCTTGTCAGTAGCGCTATCCTTATCCAGTGGATAAGTCGATCCTGTTATCCAATAAATTTATCCACTATAAACGGATTTATCCGACGGATAACGCTTCGTACAACCGGGTCCAGGACTCCCGGCTTTATTTTTTTTAGTGTTGTATTCGTGTTTGGGATACCTGTGTCAAGGGCCAAAAAGTTACATAATAAAAGGTGCATCATATGTTTGTCATCTGCATTACTATGGGGAGCAAGATGTCCACGATGCATCCATTGTTAGTTACTGCAGCTTACGACTTTGGAATTCAGTGGGTACTATGGGTGTTTGCAGCTCTTTTCCAAACCGAAAAATTCTACGATTTGGCTGGCTCAGCAACCTACATATTTCTTGCCTGGCAAACCCTTCGATCAACAGGAACTTTTCATCTTCGCCAAGTGCTCCAAACTGGCTGTGTGACTACATGGGGTGTTAGATTAGGATCGTACTTGTTTACTAGAATCCTCCACGATGGCCATGACAGCCGATTCGACAAAGTACGTGGAAATCCAAAGGTTTTCTTTATCTACTGGACCATTCAAGGCGTTTGGGTGTTCCTAACTCTACTTCCTACTATCATTTTGAACACTACAAGAAAAGACGTCGAGCTTGGATGGAGAGATTATCTTGGATGGGGTCTTTGGACCCTGGGGTTTCTTCTTGAAGCAACAGCCGATCGACAGAAGAGCGTATTCCGAAGTGATCCTGTTAATAAAGGCAAGTGGATATCATCTGGATTATGGAGCCTCTGTCGACATCCAAATTACCTGGGCGAAATACTCCTCTGGGCTGGATTGTTTCTTCCTGCTTCCACTGTCATGAAAGGCTGGGAGTTTGGTAGTGTTATATCCCCTTTCTTTGTCGCCTATCTGCTGATTAGAGTTAGTGGGATCCCTCTTCTTGACAGACAAGCACTTAAGAGATGGGGGGATATCCCAGCTTATCAGAGGTACAGGCAGGAAACAGCTAAACTCATCCCATACATTTGGTAAATGCATATACTCGACGAACGGTTGCGTTACCAAGGATTACTTGGTATACATAAAGGTCACATGTCTTACAAATCTTACTACATGTGTCAGTGTAGCAAAAAGATGAATGTTCTTCAAAAAACTTATCATGTATGAACTATTTTGAATTGYTTTCAACTTATTGTATTTGAAACTGGATTACATGTATGTTATAAATTTGATGAAATTTATTTATTACCTTGTAAATTTATACAGTATGGAAATAATTAATCATTTGTTGCTTTCTGAAAAAAAATCCAAGTCCCTGATAGCAGACGTGAATAGGCTTACGGAATGATGGATTTTTTTGTAAATAATTTGGTCCTGATTACCTTACKGATTCAGAGTAAAATTTTAATGGATTGGTAGATCTTGCAAATTCAATGGAATGTGGATTTATCCATTTTTTGGGACCAGATTTCCCTGTTTTCTCATGGATCTAAACCCTTTTCATAGATCTAAACCCTTTTCAGAAATATTTGATGTTTGTTTTTGTTGTCCAAGAGAAACATACTAGGTAACTGTCAAAGTCCATGGATTCGGGGCACGATGGATTTGCACCCATTTTATGAGTGGCCATTTACTTGGTTTATTATGACTTATGGTCTGCACACTCCTATACTCAAAATGTCCAGATTCAAAATAWTTACTAGTATACTGAATTACAAAACAGCTGGTATAAATCGGTGATCAATAAATTGGCTTAGAGAAATTTTTTTCCCGGTACAAGCCAACAAAAACAAGATCAGTAGCAGTAGCAGGTTCTTGGGGGTGGTAGGGATAAGCAGGGAGAAAAGGAGGAAAGGGTTATCATAGGAATGCCATTTATTTAGTTTACATTTAAATTGGAAATTAGTTATATTTGTATCAACTCAGACAGATAGGGYGAAGGGATACAAGGTGGGCAGTTAGTGGATTGTTCTTGGGTCTATTTCTGATTTCAAGAACAAAAACAAAACAAAAAATAATAAAAGATTAAAAAAAAAAACCCGTTCAATATTTCCTCAGAAGCATGATACACTGGAGAGGTCTCCAAGAGTAAACAGCAATCAAATACCTAATAATTTCGAAACATTAATAGTGGTAATACACTTGTTAACATTTGCATCATATATGATCTTTGGTTAACAAGGGATGGTAYAAAAAGAGGCAGTGGAGGACTGCATGTGGCTATGTACAGTAACTGCAGTATACAGGTCAAGGATGAAAATGCAGTTTTGGATCAAGCCATGCAGCCTAAAATTTGTAAAAGTAGTATGTTTGGCATTATGACACTATAAGTAACTCTTTTTGTTGAGTAGCAATGCAAATTTTTGTGTAGTATTCTCTTTTCAATGTATAATTTAGTTGTAGTATCTGCTATGTATATATGAAGAACACCTTGGGCAATTTATTATTGATCCTAAGAAACTGGCATGTTAATTATAAAAGAATGTCTTGGTAATTTTCTTTGCATATTTACGAAGTTGAAACTTAAAGCTTCAAAAGAAATCTTTTGGTGTCTCAAAAGACATTTGTACATTGGACGTGCTGTGCTTTGCTGCACAAGCACTCRATCTTTATGGGAGCCAAAAAATAGGATGAAATCACTGTAAAAAGAGAAAAGGTCGCAATCCATAGAAAGTGGGCCTTCACATATGATATTCCAAAAAATAGTCAAACTCAACAAAAACTGCCATCAGATCAATCAAATGAGCATCGGATGTACATTGGATAATTCCTGGAATCAAATTCAATCACCTTGTTCAAAGTTCCACTATCTCTCTCTATCTCTAGCATCTAGCAAATAGTATTTGATTTAAACTAACACTGTTTTGGGCTTCCTGTGGAATTACTATTTCATCAAACCAAAGTATGASATAGTGGCTATTGCCTCCTTAGAAGGCAGTAGCCACAAAAACAGAGATCAAATAAACTCCAAATATCACAATAATTGTCATTATTACAAGTTGAAGTTGAAGGAATTTTAGAGAAGACCTTCTTGTATAATTCAATCAGGTGGCATTGTTCAAAGGTAGAAATATAAAATACAATTAYATTGTAGCAACTGCAACCTACTCTATCAATTGCACAATATCAGAACCTGCTGAATTAAAATCCTAATAAAATTTTAATATGATCACCTACATCAAAATATCAGATTTCATGACAAAAAAACTTGTTTATGGAGCATTTGGCTTATAGCAATACATAAAGTCTTCACAACAAATTTACAAAATATCGTAATAATTCATCATGTCATCAATAACATCTACCTCACTGACAGACAAGGTAAGATGATGCCAGTTTAGGATGTAACATATTGTAATACAGGAATTCTTCTGTGCAAAGGAACACTGCCTCTTACTGTATAAATCTATTCAGGTTGGGCTGTGACAAGTTTTTCCATTGCTTTACCAACTTCTTCACTTTTCATGTTTGTGAGGTCTACACTAACTTCTTTGCCATAACCTATGGAAAATCAAAGTATGAAATCAGATGTGTTAATGGTTATACAGCCATAAATGATGACCAAACAGTAGAAAAGACCTTGTATGGTACAAAAACAATCTAAAGCAGATTATTATCTTAAAACAATATTTTTCACCAAGGGCAAAGTGAATATTCATTGATAATCACTAAGACTGAGGTGAAGAATGGTTTTAGTATATTATTTTAGACTTGAATATCAGAGAAAACTTAGATGAAATTCAGGATCAAAAAAAAAAATCATTACTTCTGCTTTGCTGATTTGACTAAGTTCTGCTCACAACTTGTGAATATCTTGTGATAAAATCCTTGGTCACTTGACCAATCACAGCATGTGATATTCTATATTCCAGCCTTAACTTGAGATACTAAACTGTCAGTAATAGTATGGAAAATGAAAGAAAGTATGGCTACTTTGATATATATACAGTCATTTTTTATTTCAGTATGCAAATCATCTTTTATTTAAACCCAATATCAAAAATCTTAGAGGGGACTGGCCATTTTCAAGTATTCACTAGGAGAGCCTAAGGATTCTATGAATATGTRAAACCTGAAATTTTGATGTTCATCTACAAAAATATAAATTGTACAAAAGCTTAACACCTAATTAGTACAGACTGCYACTGTTCTTACCATATCTTGCATACATCTTGGGGAAAATCCCACTACATTCTCTAACAAGGATTGGGAACTTTGGATTTGCTTTTTTAATGTCTACGTAGTTCTTTTCAAGGAAGTTTCTAAAAGAAACACAAAAGAAAACAAGAAATTTCGTGAACATGCAAAGAGCTAGAGTACTCAGCAGATTTGTCTGATGTCTTTTGTACATTCGACCAGCAATTTCAAAATTATTTCTATGAATTTTGAATGAAAGAAAGCCTGTAATATTTATTACCTTACTCCATGGCTGCTTTCGGATGTCTGGCATAGATGAATACGAATTTCTCTWGCAAATCTGCCTAAATTTGTCCTCCAAGCAGCCGCCATATTGAATTGTGAATACTACCCATGGTGCATTTGGAACATAGTGTTTTTGCGCACAGGAAGCCCAATATAGGAAAATAAAGTAGTCGGTCGGTCGGATTACATTCTCGTTCATCCTTTAGCGCAGTAGTTTCCTTCACTGCCGTTTTTCGTATCGGTCCGAAAGAAAAAGCGGCTTAATTTAAAAAAAAAAATGATAGGAAATAAAGGAAAATGTTTGGGTTTCCTRTGCTTTGAAAAGCATTGTGGGTAGTCTTGCCACGTCGCTTGCTCAGCCGTGTACTGCGCATGACCGATTTGCTGCAGTTTGAACCCTAAAAATTTTCATAASAGGACAGAAAATTCTTCCAACTTTCAACCCCTTTGGGGCCAAAATAATACGTCCTGGACTAAATATCTACAGTAGAGATGTTCTAGATACTATCCAAGATGTCAGGGGTTGGAATTCCTTCGAGTAATGCTGTTCCTGGCGCTGAACRGAACTCGTTGTATAGCGATGATTCAAGGAATCATTTCCAAGCAAATCAATTAGGCAAGCATGGTGTTTTTGTGCAGGAAAACGCGTCTCAATCATCATCTTCACGAACACCGCAAAACACCTATGAAATGGATAACCAAAGCTCAAAACCAACTGGAAACCCAGGTCATTTTATATCTGGTGAGTGTGCTGGTATTACAGAATTTCGTCATCATCACACAACATGTTAAAGCTCATCATATGACACTTTTCTCGTACCTTCGTTCTATAAATATTTCTATGAATATTTCTCAATCCTTTGTAAATAAACATTATATTCTTTCTGATATTATTTTGTATAAAAGTTTTGCAGTTGTTAGTTTAGCTGCTTGTACCCGCAGGCAAACATGGYAATCTTGCGTTCTGATTTAACTTTGGCGTTACAGCCGGCATCTCTCCACGTCATTTTACACTACGTAACAAGAATTCACAACGAAAAATAATTCGAAATAATCTATATTTGCGTGTTTTGGCCTTAAAGTCGAGATTAAGATGTGTTTATAACTTTTGTCTAAAGTCTGGTATCTTATAAATTCATTGAGTTTCAGACGAATATGTTAAAAGTAATCAATAGAAGTTTGGTTTTTGTACCTGCTCGTTGCTATACATAAAGAATTTATTTTGCTAGGAGATAATTTAGGATTCTGTCTTTCTAAAACTTMGAATTTAAAAGCTCGATTTCCCACAATTCTCTATTTACTTGTCAAAATATAGACTCTGTACCTAAGATGTCTAGCATTTGGTAATTWTATTGAAGTGAATTACCAATTTTAGATGTTTAATATTCAAGYTTTAAATTCCAAATTAACATATATTAAATTAACAGATCTATTATGGTAAATGGCAAGTATGTTAATGTGTGCTGTAGTGACGAATAGTGACATAAGTGGAGAAAATGGTAAACTTGAAATGAGAGAACAATATTTCAAAACTATTGAATTTGATTGAGATGCATCATTTGTTTTGTTTTTTTAAATCAAAATAGACCAGTTTCACACTGCTTTTGCCTCTTGACGAAAAATACATGTGCACAGGGTTGGTGACAGTTCATATGTGCAGGGAAATTTTAATGTGTTTCCTATTTTTTAATCTGAAAATCTTGCATTTGTAAATAATTTGCAATGAATTGAGGCCATCTCTGTGTAACTTGGGCTTGTTATGGAATTGCTTRGTATTAATCATTGGACAATGTCCAGCCAGAACTGAGACTTGTCAGGTGAAATCTTTGCCTTGCTGGTCAATTTGACCAGTAATGTTTAGCCAGAAATGAGGTACTGTATGACTAAGCTAAAACTAATTTGGCTTGTGTTCATGACTGGTGACTGATTGGCCATTATTTTAAGCCCTGGAGTGTATCTCATAATCTCATTACCAGCCTTAAGTGAAGGGCAAACTCTGCCCTCCATGTGTGATCATCCATGTACATATCTATATAAAACTTGTCATTCAGCTAGTGGCCTCATGTTCTGTATATGGTAAACTCATAGATACATATATAATAAGCTGGTATTTTTATAATCATCTAAATAGTTTTTTGGTTTGTCTCACACAGGGAATCAGTTCCCAAGACAAATGCAGAACAATTATCAACCAAATACAAATACATCTTTACCAAATGGCCCACCATTAAGGGGAACTCCACCACTTCCAGCACATCAGAATGGTCCAAATATGAGTCCTATGCAAGTACCATTTTCCAGTAATGGACCATCACCTAACGCTGGACCATCATCTTTTTCATCACCATCAAGTAATCCTGGTATGACTAGATCTCAACAAGGGATGCCGCCAAATGCAATGCAGCAAATATCTACACCTCCTCCTAGTTCAAGACAACACCCATCGCAGACACACACTCCTCAACATTATGCTGTTAATAAAAACTCCTTGCCCATGCCACAAATGCACACTATGTCGGCATTTACTCCTGTTGTAGGCTCACACCCCCAGCCACAGCAGCTGTCACCCTCCGGTCCACCTCAACAGCCACCCTCAACAGCAGTAACAACTCCATCTAGCCCAGCTACATTGCCAGTTAGTTCAGACTCTGGTCCAGCAATGCCTACCTCTCAGACCAGATCTCAACGGTCAACCCCTAGTCCGCAGCCCTATTCAGCATTGCATAGTGGTAAGCCTAAAAGGCCTGTGATGCCTGAGGGACCAGGGAGTACTTATCCTGGACAGCAAGGGATCCCTCAGAAGCCAACGCCACCGTCATCAGGGCCGCCAACACCTTCTGGTATCCAATCACCAAACAGTCAGGGTTCAATACAACCCACAGGCTTTCCAGGCCCCGGGAAAGATAGTTCAGGCGGTAGACCATCTATGATGTCTAAAAGGAGGCAATATCCTACACAGGTAAAAATTGACAAACAATTTTCATTGAATTTAATGGTCAGTCTTAAGAAAAAATATGAGATATACATACTATACAATAATGATTAAATGAATAATGAAGGTGAAAGAGAAAGAACTCAGGAAAAATAATGTCTCAGTATCTGCTGGATTGCAGTTCATATGACAAATAACCCATTCACAACCTACAGCTGTACATGTAGCTCACCATTAGAATTATTGCCAGTGGCTTATTGTTTAGAGCGTCTGATCGACTAGTGTAAGGTCCTGGGTTCAAAACCAACCTGTAACTCAGAACCTACAGCTGTACATGTAGCTCAATATTAGAATTATTGCCAGTGGCTTAGTGTTTAGAGCGTCTGACTAGCGTAAGGTCCTGGGTTCAAAACCAACCTGTAACTCAGAACCTACAGCTGTACATGTAGCTCAACATTAGAATTATTGCCAGTGGCTTAGTGTTTAGAGTGTCTGACTAGCGTAAGGTCCTGGGTTCAAAACCAACCTGTAACTCGGAATGTTTTAGAGTTTTTTCTTTTCATCTCCTGTTATTCACTTCTTCATATGTGAATCTTTGTCATTTTAGCAAGCACCTTCATTACCACCAGGAGGTATGGCTGGCATGTCTTACCCTGCTGGTCAGGGGTTCCCAGGACAGATGACTGGTCAGATGCCAGGACAGATGCCTGGTCAAATGCCAGGACAGATGCCAGGACAGATGCCAGGACAGATGCCAGGACAGATGCCAGGACAGATGCCAGGACAGATGCCAGGACAGATGCCAGGACAAATGCCTGGACAGATGCCTAGTCAGAAGCCAGGACAAATGCCAGGTCAAATGCTTGGTCAAATGCCTGGTCAAATATCTGGACAAATGCCAGGACAAATGCCTGGACAGATGCCAGGACAAATGGTAAGATACAGTTTTTTAAATGTATTTTTGTATGAGGTGTGGTGTAATCGGCCTTTTTTGGCATTGATAAACATGATGCATTGTGACCTAACTTTGGCACCAACCATACCATATAAGGTATGATTGATACAAGATCTAAAAACAGACCTTGTGAATGCACCATGTTTGCTTTATAATAAAAAGTTTGTTTGGAGTAGGATTTTCTATTAATATATATATATATATATATATATATATATATATATAATAATGTTTGCAATAGGATTGGTTTTCACACACACCAATAATTTAGAGTTAATTGTGAAGTGGAGCACTGTAAATTTCTTATACCGACCATTAACTAAGCAGCCATTTTGCCCTCTTTGACTTTTTGCAGCCTTATTCTGGAAGTGGTAGAGGGCAGAGTCAACCAGGCTACCCTGGACTACCTGGACAAATGGGCAGACTAACATTACAGGTATCAGAAATGTCAAGTATATCTATCTATGTACATCGTTTCAGGGGTTTCATTAAGGGTTGGGGATCGGAGAATGCTCCGGTAAATGAGCAAAGTTCTTCACCTTAAAACTACTATTTAAGGCCTAGTAATTTGTTAAGATTTTCTCTTACATGTAGACTCTCTGGCTAGTTCATGACCTTTTTCTATCATTTCAAAACTTAATGAAGACCCCAGCATTKTTTGACAATAGTATTGATGTCATGCATCCCTTTTCACAAGAGAATAAAAAGATGAAATACATGATAAACAAATTTAACTCAGATCTTTTAGAAAACAATATTTTAGAATCCTTGGTAGTTACTCTTTGGGTAATGTATTTCTGATTGACAGTGGATTAAAATCTTGAACGTTACATTTTTTGTTTTGTGTTGCTTAGCAACCTGTTGGTGTCCAGCCTGTCAACCTTTTGGAACAAAGAAACATTGTCCCGCCAGGACCACTTGAGCCACCAGTGCCTCCATTAACTCCTGTAAGTATCATCTAAACCTATATAACATCAGCTCTAGGCTACAGAGCACCCTAAAAGGGATTGGACTAAAGTGAGTAAGGTCTAAGCCACTGTTAATATTTGAAATCACTCATGTTCAATATCATACCATGCAAGGCAAAAAGGGGTAGCCCTCCCCAGTGGTGGATCAAGAATTTCTTTAGGTGAGGGTTCACCATTTATGATCAGGATGATCACAAACTCAAGCATCAATAATGCAGTAGATATCAGCTCAACTCCAGCACCCCTCCACTAGATCCCGATCAATGTTTCTGTTGTTCCTGTCTTTCTCTAAAACATTAGTTATGCTCTCTTTTCCTCAACAAATTAAACTAAACTCTGTAGCTCACCTTGAAGACCTTCTCTGCRCACGCTGCTCTAATTTCATAAGCTGTAGATGTGTCACTAGATAATTATCAYTTGAATCATTTTTATTATCKAGAAAATATACRAAACAACAGTACAAATGTTTCACTTTATATTATGCTTCTTTGATTATTAGGATCTTCAGAAACGAAATGGCCATCCAAGGTATGTACAGTGGGTTTAGCAAAATTAACTAAAAATATTGGGACTTAGAGTGCAAGGTTACTCTGGCTTTTCTACTTGCATTTTGTTCTTAAAAATAAATAAAAAGAAGCACAGATGTAATGGTTTGCAGGATCATTGATGTACAATTTCTATACTCATTTGGTTCCAYGAGATATGCATTGAATGGATTTTTAGCTCTGTGATTTCTAAAATGTATTTATTTTATTGCAGTGTTCTCTGTTGTACTCTAAACTCTGTCCCAGAGACAAAAAGCTTATTGACAAAATCAAGACTTCCCTTTGCAATACACTTGCATCCCTTCAAAGATCTCCAGGTTAGTGTTGTATACATAAAGCTCTTCATCAATGGATAGATTATCATTCTTCTGGCTTAAGGTGGCTGGCATTTTTCAAGTATTTGACATTTGCTTCTGTTGTACAGTTGTACAGGGTTTTACAGGCTGCAAAATGCTGCATCCTATATGCAAATTTTATTGAAATATAACTCAAAAAATAGATTATGTTCTAAGGGATGGAGAAATATTTTTCATATATTATTTTCTTTTGCTTGAAACTAATAATGCACAATGGTTTTATCTTCAAAAAGTCCAATTTGACAACTGTACAATATGTTCATCATCTTGTTTGCCATCTTGGACAAAATGAGTGGGATACATATGTTTACTACATCATTGATCTGTGGATCATTATAACAACATCCATGCTTGCTTTGCAGAGTTTACCTGTAATTCACTCATCAGTCATCACCAGATGTCGGTCCTGTAGAACCTATATCAATCCTTTTGTGACCTTCACTGAAACTAGAAGATGGAGATGTCCCATGTGCTTTAGAACCAATGATGGTAAGTCCTTTGAAATTCTATCTAAAGAATTCCAGGAAACATTCTCACAACCCTTATTTATGCAACTTTTCASGCAACATTCTTGTACATGTATGAGTAGGTTGTAGAGCAAATTTACATACAAATACAGTAGTCATAGGAGACAAGTTTTTTTCACACCACTTGATATAACTAGAATGCTCTTTGATCACAAGGTGTAAAAACCTTGTCCACGTGGTGCAACACATGGACGATTTGAAATGCACTTGTAGTTAACATAACAGATGCTACAAAGGCAATRAAAAATTCACAACTGCCCCGAACTGTTGGGAAGAGTAGTAACTACCTATTTAACTACCAGGTATATATATGACTGGTTATTTCTTTTAGTTCCAGAGGAATTCTGCTATGACCCCACTACCAAATCCTATGGTGACCCTTCAAGGAGACCAGAAATCAAGTCTTCAACTGTAGAATTTATAGCTCCCTCAGAGTACATGGTGAGTAAGATTTATGCTTCATGTTCCTACGTGCATCCATCCAACATACCTGGTAACATGGTACATGACAATAAGAAGCTGTGTATACATATCAAGTTGTTTTGTAAATTAAAGCAAGTGTTGTTTGTATTCTTCTAGTTCATTACCTCGGGGGTTTAAAGACTTCAAGTAATCCTACGTACTTTCAGAAACTTTCCCTAATGGGAAGGGCACTTTTTCCATTTTCCTGAAACCGTGGCAGTGACCACTCTCAATGCCTACACCTCATACTAACAACCTCATATGAAGTGCCTTCATTAATATATTACGTATATATATATATAGTATTACGCAGAAAGGGTGCTATATATATATATATATCATTGTCAACATTAATTGTTCTTTTTACAGTTAAGGCCTCCACAGCCAGCAGTTTTCCTCTTTGTTTTTGATGTTTCTTTTAATGCCATTGAAACTGGTAAGTTTTTTTGCAAGAGACCTGTACCACTGTTTCCCATTTTCAGAATGTGTCATTCCCTTGAGTGTTATTTCATTGCCTACCAGCAATCCTTGAGAAGACAATAAATCTCGACAAAAAAATATAGCTATTCTTAAAGAACTCAAAAATGTTGTGTGAATTGGGGCRAACTTTAACGGATGCTACAAAGGCAATAAAAATAATCACAATTGCCTACTGGGAAGAGTAGTAATTTGCCCAAGAAGATTGGTCTATCTCATTAATTCTAATGAAGTTATATATTTCTTCACAAATGTTGGTAATCTGTGTAGTTATTGTGATATTTATTTGACTTTATCTATTTTTTTTWATTCCAGGATACCTTCATAGTGCATGTAGATTATTAAAAGAGAACTTGGATAGAATGCCTGGAGACTCTAGGACAATGATTGGATTCATCACCTTTGATAGCAAAATTCATTTTTATAGTTTAAAGGTAGGTGAACCTGCAATTTGTTAGATCATCATGGTTAAACAGAATAACTTGACATACTGTAAGCTGGTAAAATCCATGTACAGTAATAAAATTTTYATAGTGTAAAGTTTAAGTTTTTGTAATATGTTGATGACGTCATTTTCCCACCAAAAGGGAAGAAATCCAAAAATCTAAAAAGATATGATTTCTGAGAATATTTTGTTCTTCGTTTCGCCAASTTTCATTATCTTTGGCTTAAAATTAGAAAAGTCATATTACCTATGCCAATTTCCGGGTCTTTTGTGGCTAGTACTGTATGATGAGAGAAATCATTTATGGTGTAATTATGTTATAATTTGATTTAGTATTCACTTTTGCCATCTTTATTCCATTTTAGCCCAAAGCAACTCAGCCTCAAATGTACATAGTTTCTGATTTAGATGGTGAGTCAAAGAAATCCTAATCACAATCTACCTATAAATAAGTTGTCCATTAAAACTATAAACAGTGCTCCATTTAAAAAATGTACATCTACTGTACATTTAAATATATTAATTTTCTTGAAGTCATTACCTTCTGGTGGGATTATCCCACATCTGAACCAATCAGGATGAAGTATACTTATTGGGCGGCAATAAAGTTATGTACTGATGTTGCTATAGTGATTAATTTGGTTCCCATTTTGTTTTCTTAGATGTTTTCTTACCAGCACCAGATGATCTGTTAGTCAACCTGAAAGAGAATATGGAGGTAATGAARACAGAGATCTCAGGCCCCTGCATTTATCTGCTATAATGTTTTTTGATTATCTATGTTTGAAGCTCTCGAGCCAGGCTCTTCTTTAACCTTAAAAATGTTGCTGGGGTGAACTTTATTGAAGAAATAGAAAAAACACACACGAGCTAGGTGTGCAGTTACAAAGCATGCAGGGATTGGCAGAACATGAGAGAAGTGTTAGGAGGAGCATGATGCATAGCGGAATGCTTCTGGACACTTCTCGAGTGTTCTGCCAATCCGTAAATGCTTTATAACTCCACAYAGCACAGCAAGAAAGTTTTTTATTTCTTTTATAAAATGCAAATTGCACGTKCRTGCTGTGTGCTCTCATAAAGCACGYGATCCCAACCAATCAGAATGCGAGATTTATAACAGTCATTTTTATAATTGTTGATAAATAATGCAAATTGTTTGACAAGTACCATTATTTTAAGTGAGGTTCTTGTTTATTTTTCCAGCTCGTACATCAGTTACTTGACTCTCTTCCCACCATGTTCAATGGTACTCATAATGTACACAGTGCAGTAGGAGCAGCAATGCAAACAGCTCTTAAACTTGTGGTAAGAAAATACCTAACTCATGAATAAAATAAATTGTTGGGAAGAGTAAAAGYTTTAATCTCTTGTGTTGACTAATAATGTACAGTCTGTAAGGATGTTTTATACCAGCTGCATTGTAGGACAGGAACAATAGAGCTTTTAAGTTGTGACATACTGTATTTCTGGGTCCAACTACTCCATAAAACCACTAATTAAAACAAAAACATTCTCAATAATTTTAACTCCACCTAAAACAGAACAGTACACAAAGAATTCTCTCAAAAAGAAAAACTGAAATATTTCCATACAACTGCTTTTCGTTTTGGAACTAGAAGTTATTTTTTGCATGTGATTGACATCACACTTTTAATAAAAAAGCTTTAAAGATAATTTGCATAAGGAGGGGTTTCCTTGTACCTGTCCACTCTAATGCCCTCAGTCATATGCCTCTTTAATGAGCATCAAACCAAAACACGTGGGACAGAATTATTTACCCCTGGTAAAAGAAATGGTATGAAAATCGTAGCAGAGAACAGTGATTGCTCTCTCTAAATGTAATTTGTACTCTTTTTCCAGGGTCCTACAGGAGGTAGGGTATCAGTCTTCCAGACTACACTACCAAATATTGGACCTGGTGAACTGAAGAAAAGAGAGGAACCAAATCAAAAATCTAATGCAAAGGTAATCCCATCAAATAACTCATATTTTACTTATGACCACTCCCCGTACGGGGCTCCTCCTTGAGGTTCCCTCACACATATACTACCACATTCTATATTTACAACATACGACACTCAACTCACATTTTGAWTTTTACKGAGGGAGGAAACCGGAGRAYGCAGAGAAAACCCTCATGGCAAGGGAGAGAACAACACATCAAACAAACTCAACTCACATATGATTCAGTCTGAGCTGGGGTTCAAACCTGGACATCGGCRGTGAGAGGCGAGGGGTAAAACACTACGCCACTCATGTCACCCATCACAGAATAACTTCTTCTTTCTTCAAGATKTTGCTCTAAATTTGATCTTTTTTGGGGCATAATGTTTTCCCATTTTAGACCAAGTTTCATTCTCTTGAGAATAGTATTCTCTGTTTGAGTTTTATCCATATTTATATGTTTTCTCATGTGCATCCATTAAAGAAAGAAATTCTACTCAAGGGAATAAAAGTGACTATTGAGGGTAGCAATAGTAACGCTGAACTACTGTACTTATTGTTTTTAGGATGTTGTAAATCTAGCCCCAGCTACAGATTTCTACAAGAAGTTTGCATTGGACTGTGCTGCTGAACAAGTTGCTATTGACTTGTTCCTTCTGTCTACACAATATGCAGATATATCATCACTAAGTATGTATACTTTGTTACCCCCACCCCTCTCCCCCAAAACCAACTCCATCCAACCACCCCAGGATTTATTCATTGTTCAAGAACTTGTCTTGCTAGGTATAAAAATAAGTATGTTAAAAATAAAGGAGCTTAGCATTTCTATTTGTACGCCATTTTTATGCCTGATCACCACCACCGGACAACATTAAACAAACATTTCTACTTCTGGTATGGCATCCCCAAGCATGTTATCACCCCTAGTATGCCTCAGTCAGTATGCTCTTACCATTAATTGAATTTACTATGCTTATAGACCCCTTGCATGTGACGTCAAAGCAACTCMATCTGCGGGACAAAACAAAAGAATCTCCAATTGTTTTGTCCCCCAGATTGAGCTGCATTCCAAAGTGCTGCAAGGTGTCTATATTGTGATAATATGTCTATACTAATTGGATTTCCCCTTCCCTTTTTAGTGTGTGCTTCAAAGTATTCAGGTGGTTGTGTTGCATACTATCCAGACTTCCATGTAGTTCGGAATCCTGTTGCTGTTGAGAAGTTTGAGGCTGAATTTGTGTAAGTCACAGAAGTCCATAAACAGTCTATTTGTATCAGTTTATTGTTACTCATAGGCATTTGAGGGGCAAAGGTTTTTTTGAGAATTTGATGAACAAAAGAGCTAAAAAAGTCTTTAAAAAAACTCAAAAGTCCACCCTCCCTATTTTAGACCCATTTGGCCAAACTCAGCCCTCACCCATTGTAAAAAGTTTCTGAAAATAACCAACTTGCCTTCTCTCCTTTACAGTCGTTATCTCACAAGAAAGATTGGTTTTGAAGCCGTAATGAGAGTGCGGTGTACTAGAGGTAAATAAAATAATCTTAAAACAAAGACAAGATCAAAATAATTTATATCAYAATTTTATTGCTTACTTATGTTGCTTTTAATTCTCTTTTTAGGTTTGGCAATCCACACTTTCCATGGAAATTTCTTTGTGCGCTCTACAGATCTAGTTTCTCTTCCAAACATCAACCCAGATACAGGCTTCACTATGCAGATTGATATTGAAGATAACTTAACTGATTCCAACATCGTGTGCATGCAGTCAGCACTTCTCTACACTAGCTCAAAAGGTGGGATATGACAGAATATATGTTAGAATCATACAAGAGTAGATCTGGAATAGAAATGTGGGTTCGAGACACCAACATGACATCATAGGAAGTCCAGATACTGAATTTACAAATTGTATYATATTAATTGTAAAATACTCAGACTTTGTAACCAACTGTCATTACCTAGAGTATCATTTCTTYGTTTAACGGTTGCACATGAGAAGTCACACGAATACAGATATAACTGAAAAATATACCTGAAAAAATAAAGAAAAGCTTATTCTCAAGAGAATGACGCGTAGTCTGAAACAGGTAAACACTATTGATTGTTCTCTTCAGGTGAACGCCGTATAAGGGTTCATACTCTGGCTATGCCCACCACYACCAAGCTGTCTGATGTCTACGCTCATGCTAACCAAGAGGCTATAGCAACATTACTGTCAAAAATGGGTAGGTACAGGTACACTATTCTTTAACTGGAAACAATCACCTAAGGAAAACCATGTTAAATGCCAATCAAAATCTCATGTATGGTTTTATACTTTTTTAGCTGTGGACAGAACATTATCGTCTAGTYTGGGAGATGCTCGAGAGGTAAGCCACAGTTATAACATATTTTACATTTTTGTTTATATAGGTTGAATTAGCAAATCGAATCTCATGAAATCGACTTTATTGTTACTGCCATCCAACTTGGTTGCCATCATGAGATTGTGCAAATTGTGCAAAACCTTTATATTGCTGATTTCTAGAGAATAATAAAAGGCTATGGTTGAACCCACGAAATAGGACTATTTTTGTCTGATWATGACTAGTTGGAACTGCATAGGGGTGTCAAATACACCAAGGGAGTAGGGAAAAAACTTAAATGTAAAAGAGTTTGCATGGTTTGGACGTTAGTCCTTAGATGGAGTTAAAAAGATAATTTGAGTTTTGTTCATATTTACCCTGTTTTTTTTAAATACCTGATCCCTAAACAGCATTGCTTGAATCCAGAGCTGTGTCTGTTGGCTCCTGTTATTTCATTCCTTTATTGACCTACATAGGGTCCCAAATATATTTGAAATGTGTTTTTCATTACTTTCTTTTCTAGGCTTTGATGAATGCGTGTATAGATTCTCTCTCAGTGTTCCGTCAAAGTGTGGCCAATCAACCACAGAGCAGCCACCTCCTGGCTCCTTTCTCTCTGCGCTTGTTCCCGCTCTACACACTAGCCTTACTAAAACATGTAAGACAATAATCTTGATATTAAATAACACAGAAGACAACGAGTAAATARGCAAAAGAATACTTTAGTGGGGTCAGGGTTTAATATCAAGCAGATTTCGTGAGACTGGGAAATTTATGGTATCGATGTGCTCAGCTGAGGGTGACGCTTTTTATTGGATGAAAAGTGAACTCTTGCTCTGCAATTGGTTCAAAAGATTTTATGTAGTCTACAACGTGACATTGCCATGTGTCGTTTTTCATTCGTACAGTCTAGCAATCTGCTGTGATTCTTTTTTAACTTCCAAGATGTTACTGCGACAAGACGACTGGAGTTCTAATGCTTGCAGAATTCCCTTACATGATTTCACAGGACAAAAAACAACAACAACAACAAAGCAAAACAAAAAAACAAAACAAACAAAAAACAAACAAAACAAAAACAAAAAAAAACAACAAAACAAAACAAGAATAACTAACTTAAATATTGAATGTATGAGACAGATAAATAGTTCTACATCGAAATGCCYTGTAATCATCAAGGTGTAAATTTTAACTCCGATTTTTTCCTCTGCAGCTTGCCTTTCGTCTGGGTTCAACAGCTCGCCTGGATGAACGATGCTATTCTATGCAACAGTTCAAGACTATGCCAGTTTCTCTTATTATGCTTACCATCTACCCATCGCTCTACCCTATACACGACATCTCTGACGAGGTACGCACATTGCAAAATTCATTTTTAAGACAGAGTAGCCAGGTTGGATGGGTAACCGCTTCGTAATTCAAGGGATGGGTCAGTGGCTTAGTGCCAGCACTGAGACCCCACATCCCTTGCGACAATGGTTTCTCTCCCATTTCCTCCATCAGTAAAAATCAGCATGTGAGTTAAGTGCTGCCTTGTAAATAAGGAATGTACTCTGTAGCAGTAGTGCTGTAGAGTGAACCTCTTTGAAGCTCCTCGAGAGGTGGCTGACAGCTTTGTTCAAGGACAGTAATATATACATGTAGTAGTAATCATTTGTCATGCATCTTTTTCCTGTAGAATGGTCTTCATACGAAGAGTGGAGTAGTACCACAACCTCCCTGCCTTAACCTCTCTGCAGAGAAACTCAGTAGACAAGGAGTCTTCCTCATGGATGCTGGTCATGTAAGTAATCAGTGATCCTACAGACTTTATAGTCAACAGTGTATAATAGTTCGTATAGTACTTAGGCTGCCCTAGTCGTGTTCCAGAGACTCTTTTTGTGGATCGTTCGTAGGTTTCGTTTTTCGCTAGAGATCGTGGCCTCGCTTTCTTTGAGCGAGATGATCTGACTAGCCAAATGTTMACATGGAAATATAAAAGCGTTTCCACATGTRTGAGAGGCTRGTCAGTCCAGAACAATAGTTATTCAAATTGTTCGCCATGTTTGGATTCAGTGTACAAGTACCCAGAAAGAGTTGTATTRGGTGKCGTAGTGGTTTACCGCTTGTCTCTCATCGTTGTGGTCTGGTTCTCTGGTTTTTCCTCCCTCSKTAAAAATCAACATCTGTGTTGAGAGTCGTATGCATAGAATATTTAATGTAGTGGTTGTGTGGGTGAGTGACAGTGGGCCAATTTGGAAACCATACATATATACTKAATTTGTACCCCACTATAAAAAAGGGATTTATTTATTGATTTACTWTCTACGGCGTAGACCAGCTTGTATTGCTTGTATGATATTTAAAAATGGATTCGTATGCCTTTAATTGAACTTAGTCTTTGTCTTWGTGTTTTTCAATTTCCGGACGAGTGTTTTGAAATAAACTAAACGACTCTAGAATTCCAGGGAAARCAATTATACTCATTTGCTCAAAATAAACTTCCCTTGACTCTTTCAAGCACCAACGTTCATCCAATCCACTAGTTATTTCTATCCAAACACTCTCACGCCACAGCTCTATCTAATTAAAAATCTTAGAAGCCCTGTAGTGCTTGGAATGTTTATTATGAATTCTTTTTTTCACCTCGCGTTCAGTTTCCGCACAAACACCTAAAATGTATCAAATTTAAAGTGCTTGTAGGCGTACTTTTCATCCTATCTAAAACAACATTGGCTGTTCTTTATTTAATGAGCCAACAGACGGCTCCCAGTATCTGTCTGAGTTGTYGTTGAGGTTTTATCTGTGTGATATAATTGCCTCCTCTTTCCGTTCAAAATTAGTTTTTGTCGCAATCTTTACTTTGAATAAGTTTGCGATAATCTTTCTTTGACGTATTCTCATTATGAAATTATGTTGCTTTGAATGACCAACAGCTTCATTAAGGACATTGTTCGCGTGCTTCCTGTTTGCGTATGAATTTAATGCGCGCGCTCATCGTGATGACGTCATTCCAATGTTTTGATAAGCTAAATATCACGTTCATTCATGATATATCAGGTTTACAAAAAAAGAAGAAAAAAAATCAGGTTTACCATGCTAACGAWATCCTATTTTTCTCTTTTTAGGCATTCTATATCTGGGTTGGCAAGGACACACCCGATGGGATTATCCAACAGCTGTTTAACGTGCCTAGTTTTAATAGTATCGCTGAAAACATGGTAAGCAAAACCCACATTTATTTGGGTTCATACTGTTTTTAACAGTACAATTCCTACGCTCTTAATATTCCTGCTGTTGTAGAGTGTAAGTGGTATTGGTGGTGGTGGGTGAGTGTGTGGGTGGGTGGGTGGGGGGAGGATAGATTTGAAGATATACTGAATTAACTAGTATGCTAGCATGCATAAAATTACAAGTTTAGGGGGGTGAGACTTGAACAAACTTAGTCGATGTTAGCAAAAAGGAAAAAGGGTACAAGTTAGCACCCCCCTGATGGGTACTTATGTGAAAATATTTAATGGGGGCCTCAAACTACAATGCGCAAAGCTAACTCACTGCAGTTGAAAATAAAACGATGTTTGAATGATAGCTATTTTAAGATGTAAAAGGGTCAAGGTATAAAGTGTTAATATACATTTGTTATTGAAATACAGGGTTCATTACCAGAACTAGACAATGCTTTATCACAACGCGTACGATGCTTTATTGATTATCTTCAAAGTCAAAGGACCTGTCATGCTGTTATACATGTCTTCAGGTGAGCACACACGGCGTCATTCTCTCTCTAAATTACTGCCGCCCACCATTAATCTTTATTTTCGCAGCTTAAGACCTGATCAATACCAGGCCACGCAATCGCCTCTAATTTCTGTGGTCTTGGCAACACATGAAAGCAGAATTCAAGGGTTTTCCCCCGGTTTTCCCCTTTTTTTTGTCCATCGGCAAAACATAGCATTCGATTTGTGGATTAGGAGTGCCCTRAATTTGATCAGCGCAGAGTTCGTTTTAGGGCTCAAAAATTTTTGAATTCTTTTTAGTATTGATCATCAATCTTTTCTCAATCTGACTGAGCAGACGCTAGTTAGGATCGTTGAAGAATCACAGCGACTAGCTCATATTTTAACGTAGAAAGMAAAAGTATTCTTAATAAAAAATTTCTTTTATTTTTAGGGAGGATAGTCGCAATCGAATGTTATTCCTGAACAACTTGGTYGACGACAGATCCGAGTCTGTTATGTCGTATTATGAATTTTTGGTACACCTTCAACGCCAAGTCAACAAGTAACTAAATAACATTAGCAGATGTCTGCMAACCTTCTGCTCTTAACCATACCTGCCCCACCCTCCACCCCTCAGTCTGACCCTTGGACTGTACGTTGGAATAAAGAGGGGTAGGAGCGCAAGAGGTCACGAGACATATAGCCAGATATTATGTACTTGAAGATAATTTCAGCAACTGCTGATAAAGAGTTTAAAGACTTGAGACTTGAGAAAAACATATCGAGTTTAAAATAAGAATAGAACGATTTAGGAAGGGATCTTTCAAATGCTTTCTCATTTTTATCATGTGATTTTTGTCGAAAATGGGAAAATTTCGTTCTCATTCTGTCACCTTTACTTATTTTTGGGGGGACTCAAAACTGCTGCAGGAAATTTATATAATAAATTATGACATCAAATATAACAATAGAAGGAAGTGGAAATCCTATTTTAGGAATCCAAGATTTTGTTGGTTTTACAAAAAATTAGAATCATTAGAATATTGTTTGACTTTTGCTTTTTTGACGACGCCTTGTAGTCGGAAAAAAATAAGAAAAATGCAGGATAGCTTGCATTGTTTATTGAAGGCTAAAAGCCTGGCACGACTTATGACTGTTGAAGACTAGGACCAAGCTTATTTGAAGGTTAGGGATTGGTGGAGAATGTGTGACGTAATCTTCTGTGTATTAGCCATTCCGAAGACGAGTAAGAGAATGGGTCGAGTTGGATTTGCAGTGCATTATGGGGCTGTTTCAGGKGACAAAGTAGACGCCATTTTTGAGTTCGATAAACAKGRTGCATTGTKGTCTAGCTTTRATAWAAACAACAGTATATGAGGCATGATGAACAAAAGATGTCTGTACTGAAACTAGACCACAATGCACCATGTTCGCCATCTTAAAAATAGGTCTATGGAAATATGTCCCGTAAAATAGTCCCACAATGCACTGCGATGCCAACTCGACCCAGTCTTTTCCTCAACTTCAGAACGGCTAATAATGCCACCAATCAGAGATCGGTTGAAAGTGTAAACTRAGCAAGATGCACAAGAGAGGCAATATTTAACACATGAAATTCATAGCCGCCATGTTGGTTGTCCTTGGTCTATATTTTTATCGACCAACATGGCGGCCATGTCTTTTCATGTCGTTTCATTTTCTTGGGGAATTATTGCAACCGCCTATACATCCACCAAAATGAAAAGCATGACAATTCAAATAAAGCAGTAGAGTCAGCTGAATCTCAAGCAGTGATTTGCTGTGATTGGTTCGAAAGCTGCMGTGATTTGGCGTTTCACAGTCTTACGAAATTTGTTTGAAACACGCTCAGCATACTTAAGGGGCCGGTTGTTTTAGWGGTAATGGTTCTGTAAAGGCCAATCTTACTTCACGAAATTTACTTTAGCATTAAGATGGCAGTTAACTTATGCGTTTTCTTCTTGCTTTGARTTAGAGCAATAAGGCTGGAATAGTGAGGTCTTTCTCTGAACACTGCATGACGTTGGGAAAAATCAATTATTTCAAGTATATATTTTTTGACAGCTGAAACGAAATGAATGTTGCTAGGTGATTAAATAGCTGCTGTGCAATGTGAGTACGTGCGAAGAAATATCTAGAACTACGCCAATGTAAGAAAAATTGCATGAGTAACTTCCAGCATTTTTATTCAAAAACAATTATAAAGTAGGTCGTGGCAGTAGAGACCCTTAGATCCGACAACGAGTWTCASTACGAGTTTTAAAATTGGTTCTRCGCGCGTGGTTAACACTGAATYATAGTGRATTTCCGATTTTTTACAATTTAAAGTTTCAATCTACKTACAYGACCACGAATATGAAATGACAGTGCCAATYTTGAAAAGTTAGAAACTTGTACTATTACTCGTTCTCTTACTTGTTGTCGGATCTAAAGGTGTCTACCATTGAGTTCTCCTTCGTGAGATCTTGTGAAACCAGTTGTGTTCTTTATTCTCTGTTGAATGAAATCGGAACCCTCTTTGGGAAGCCGCAGTTCAGTCTGTCTGGCGGCCATTTTGGATCACCACCCCAACTCCCCYCCCCACCCCCCCCCCTCCTTTTTTAAATCCTGGATCTGCCCCTGGTTATACTAGATACTAGAATAGAAAGAAACTTGTTTCAAACAAGCGGGTCTTCGTCTGCCAGGTTGTTGATATGATAATTTTCACTGTCTGCTACCTAGCAACCTTTTCGTTGATTAYTGCAAGCGTACAATGAAATCAGCAGCCTTTCATTATGAGTGTGCTATATGTCTTTACTCCATGCTTTAAAAATAGTTACTTCTATCMACCATGGATTGACCTCACCCTTGTGAAAACATTGTGCACATATTGTAACTAAAAGGAGTAAATGAAAATATACTTCGATATTTCAAATCTTGACTAAAGAATTTTTGTTTTCAMATAGACACGATATAAAGCGTGCTTTGATCGGCTAGCTGGTTATCTATGAAAAAATGGATAACCAAGATGTTTGATTCTTTTCCCTGATTTCATTTTTAACTGCTGTGGCATGGCCTTCCAATGGTCTCTCGAGGTTTAGTGATGGGCGGTCCCATTTCTGTACACAAGCAGCCAAACCATGACCAACAAATACGGGCCAGTAACGCTGCATTGACAATATATTTACKCCCAACTGTAAGATGTTGCCTGAAGGTCTTACCCCTTCGATTCTAAATGAATCAGTAAACTGTCTTCCATCATATACCACATGGTTCAAATGATATAGATGACTCAGACCMACGTACCCTGCAAGCAGAATCTCCTTTTACCTTCACCGAAGAGAGAAGAAAATTAAAGAGGCGGAGACTCTATCAGCAGGGTAATACCCAACAATCAAACTGCATATATTTTGCACTTAGAGATATCTACATATATTCCAGAGCGGAGGCGATTCCAATGAATCAAACCTTTCCTGAATTCACTCGAGTGACCATGGAACGATAGTTCAAATTCGAGTTTGGACTTGATGTGTTCATASATACAGTTACTATATACTACCAAGTCCGCCTCGAGCTCCACTTGAACCCATTTCGTTGTCACTCAAGAAAAATGTAATTTCGAGGTAAGCTGTTACCTCGGAAACCAATTGAACTTAGATTTTATCGTTTAATTTTTTATTCTTTATTCTTCACATGACTTCACCCAATCACCCCGCTAGTGTCCTCCTTGCCGGCAAGTGGAAAAAAATTCTGAAAGGAGCTGGGGGAGTATTTTTTTCACCTGCGGTCATGCCRTGTCTTAATCAATGTCGGAGACTTAACAACATCAACGTCTTACCATTATTAAAAACCTACTAGCGTCAAACTGTTCAAAATCAGGTGGATCAAAGCCTGTAACCAAGATTTTCATTGAGAACAACTTCTGTGTTTTCGGGTCGCAGTTCACTGGGAASTTAAATGATTATAAGAGAGGCGGAAGTCTTATTGTTTTGGTTCAATATTTCAAGCCTTTTACCGGGTTAATAAGAAAAACTAGTTTTTTCCCCCAGTTTTTAATTAATACCGTTTTAGCTTTCTCAGTGTGGCGGCGACAAAGGCGGCTTTTTAACTACAGTTTTTYCAGAATTTCCTCATTTAAAAAGGCTCACGTTTTTAAAAAGAAAATAGCTCTATACAAAGGRCTGCTGAGTACTAGCTAAAGATGCTTTCATGCCAGTAAAACAATACAAATAGCATGGATTTCCTCATCATCTAATTGCTGTTGGACTAAATGAATTGGTCTTTTCATGCCGGCGTAATTTKTAGGAAACTTATTTTACGAAGTAAAGTGCCAACGTCTCAGACATAACGACTCCAAAGATTCAAAAATTTGTTTTCTCATATCATATCTTAGCAATTGCAGTATTTTTCTTTGATATGATGGTTTTCCCTCGTAACGCCTTAAGTAGGTACATGGAAAAACATTTTTTAAAGTGAATCGTAAACTCAGTCTTCTATTAGGTATTCTCTTGAAAACGCAAAAATTCTTTATTCCTGGAAAGAAACGAGTTCATTTTTTCTGCGATCGCTTCCAACATTTTTATTTTCATCTGGTCTGTCTATTCCTATGCCCTCGAGCGTTTATTAACAACTTTCATTTTAGGGAAATGTTTTTGTCTGAATATCTAGAATAGGCTGCCGGCTCTTTAAAATGCGGCAAAAATATTCTCTCGATGGTTTTCCTGTGTTTTTATCTTCTCGYACGTTTTTCCCGCCATTTTTTTAAAAAGTCCAACCCAGGTACCCGCGGTTAAGAAGCAAAACCAAGATGGCGGCTGATTCTATAATCTTTCTCCAAGTGCACTTTACCATCTTGGATCCTCCTTGGGAGATATTTCTAATTTCAGCGCTGACAATAGAGGATAAATACTTGCCGAGGGTGAGAAAAACTTTACAAGTACGTAGCAAYAATTTATTCTTCACAAATCATTTAGGGGATTTATTTACTTACAAGTTAAAAATCAACTGTAAGCTTTATGTAAGACTTAAAAGTTAAGTCTTAGGACATATAACTAAACTTTTCGGGAACCATATGTTTATCTAAGATGTCCTAAACGCTACAAACTGTCCTTAGAAGTCGTCGCCAAAAGCGCGACAATATGCTAAATTAATTCTAAAAACATCTGGTTTGAGATTGAGATTCTATCGAATTATGTTGACACGAAGTCGTGGAGTCGAACACGAAATGATTGCTTCAAAATTCCGCCCCAAAACTCATCTTTTCTCCAATCAGTTGTGCCTCCTTAAATYAATTTAACTTCACGGTGATTCATTCAATGTTTAGGTTCAATATATTTGAAGAATCACTGTAATTTTCTAGGGTAACGATTGCCTCATTCGAGAATGCAGTCAACTAAATGCAAATGGTTTRTGTATTAGCCGTCAGAAGCCTGCTGTCGACCAATGGAAAATCACCTTACACCTGTCATCCCCAAAGAACCCGTTAAAAATAAATGACTTGATGCCCTTATTTGTCGCTTACGGCTCGAGAGAACCCCAAACACAACGATAATAGTCAGTACAAGTCGAGCCGCTCTTTTTTGTAGCTGGCAAACGAATATAAACAGATTTGTTTCGCAGGATAGCCTGAAACATGGCGCGCGTCTTTGGTTTTTACTGCATTGCATATTCGTTGTTTTTCTTGGCAAAACCTACTGGAAACACAATGGCTGCTAGTCTTAACAAGTAAGCAACCGTTTGAGATGTAATTCTGACTTCAAATGCCAGTTGTAAAGGGGATTTTCCATTCTCTTTTTCAGTACAAAAAGTTGGGCGCAGCAGATCGGGAATAACATAACGCAACTGTTCCAAGATGTGACCAAATACAACGAAATAAAAAAGGTGAATGCTGCAAATGTTGTGATTTCGTTCATGTTTAGAACCTTAGATTTTCCAGTGGCTAGTAGTTYGTGTGCATGCAACGGAAGCCATGCTACGCTTGAAGTACTTTTCTGTTGTGACTTTAGGATAAAATGTTTTATTTCTCTCCATTCATTCAGAAATACAGTCCAACAAATCTCACACTTAAAGAAAGAGATGGTCCGAAGGTTGCCGAAAAGATGAAAGAACAGCTTGAGTCTGTTCTACAAAGCAGAATTCAGACAGTCAAGGTACGTAGTTCTTCTACACACTAAACGGTTTAAAGTAAATATGAAGAGCAAATGGAGTTATTTTTAGAACTAGACTAAGAAATTTCCATGCTACGGAAAAAAAGGTCGTCGCTAGAATTTGACTTTTTCCCCGGCGATATTTCATGTGGTAAGCTTTTCTTCGCATGTTTAGCTAACCACKTTTGACTTTCCGCAACCATCGTTCGTTTACCTTAACACATCCACCCATCTTTGTGTCGTCAGCGTAGCATTTAGAACTGAATGATACCACTGTACACTATATTTTTGTTTAAGTTACTCAGCCTTCTCAATCATTCTCTTTAAACACTGAAAGGAATTCTCACGAATATTACGCTTGCCAWAGGATAGTTTTATTTTGTTTCGATAGTAATATCTCGATTGTAAATTGCAGCATCGTTCCATTCTCTTCTCGTTTTAAATTTTTGATGAGGCATTTTTGGGCATGTGAAATTCACTGCACCTGATATGCCGATTTCTCGTACTTCAATAGACCAAAACAAGCGATARATTTTAGCTTAATTTCATACTCACGATTATGTGTGCTTTTCAAGGGCTTGGAAGCCCTCAAAATGCTCTGAAAGCAACATTTTTGAAGTTATCATTCATTTTCATCGATATGACAAATTTGTAATCATCAGTCGCGGTATCGTATATTTATATGTTGTTGACTACAAAACCTGTTTAGCTCTACCGGTTGAAACACCTTACGAACCTCAAATTACCAAACACGAAATTCGTCGAGCAAAGGATTAGAAAACCACACAAAAAAAACGAATTCTGCTTCAATTTGAAGCCATGAATCCTGTCTTTTAAACATGAATAATTCGAAATGACACTTTTGTTTAATTTTTTCGCTAGTCAATTTGGTAGAATAAGTTAAATAGCTTAAATTAACCTAAATGGCCATATATTATTCTACATTTTATTTTTGACTGGTTTTCTAACGAAATTTTTTTCGTTAAGATATTTTAAACTTTTAATAGGATTTCAGCCTTTATTAAAAGAATTGCCTTTACTTAAAAAAAATTAGCTTATTCAAGTGAGTTCGAGTGATGTGTTTGGTTTCAAATATATGTGATGAGGGGAGGATTTWACCGGTATGGGGCCTCAAAATACCATCCTGTACAATCCCTACAATCATATATAAAAATCATACCACACACTAACTGATAATAAAGATACTATCATACGCTACCTGCTTTAAGGGAAAAAATATGTTAAATTTTTCCACTAAATAAAATAAARATATTCTAAAATATTTCTTACACAAAAATCTACTGCTCAAGTAGACATTTTCCCTCGAAAATCTTGATACCAATTTATTTTAATTTTTCGGTCTACAGAGCATTTGACATTTAGTAGATTTTTTTATGATCTCAGTTGGAAATTTTGAGCTTTTGTGTTTCTAATCAATATATGTAGGTTTTTACATACATATGAGTTATTAGTAGGGCATGTTTTTAGCATATTTTTCTTCAGAACTGGTGCTATGATAGAGGTTTAAAAACAAGAATAAAGCAGATTCAAGGGAAGTGATACAAAATGTGTGAATGCTTATCTTGGTACCATCATGATGATATACAGTCTGTAAACATACTGGTTGCTATAGAGCAAAAGAGAAACAAGTAGTTCCCTCAATTTTGAAAAGCCCTACAGCTTTTMGAGTGGTAGTCATACATTAAAAAGGCATACAAGTAGCCATTTCATATATATACTTTCATAAATTATTTTTTCCATTTTTTTAATGTCAATTTTGTGTGCTTTTTTGGGTCTCTCCCAAGATAGTCTTTCTTCAAATTCCCTAGTTTTCCTATGCTCTGCTTTTGGGGTTTAGTGTGCCAACCCCAGCGGTTGGAAATCTGAGGCTATATTTTTCCAAAATTGATTTKAATAAACAATAATTGGAAAAAGACATTCATATGACTAGAATTACAAAAACAGGAACATCTTTATTAAATTGTTGTCTCCAATAACCACGATGTTAGAGGGAATTTGAATAATTATTTTATGTGCAATAAATGCCTTTAAAAAGCAGGTTTTTATAAACTTAGTATCATTTTTATCAAAATATTATTACTAATATTAAATAATTCAGACTTTTTAGAATTTTAATGTTACCTAACGATATATTTTTTACGAACAATTTTCCGTTTTATTTGTTGGCCTAATATGTTTTATTTTTGTCATAATATTTTCTTGGATTTTTTTTTGTTGACATTTATCTATTTTTTATTTTAAATAATAATAATTTTTATTACAAATACAAATTATGTATCTAAGAGCGAAATTATCAGAGTCAATATCGTACAATAACAGTATGAATGATCCGTAAAAAATCTGTGAATCAAAACGTTATTTTAAAATCTGTAATATAAATATAACTATGATAAAATGAAAAAAAAATTTATCTATTGCTCATGATTTTATTTGATCCTTTGGTTTCCTCAAGAATTTTCAATGACTTTCATATTGACCTTCAGTCTCATTTGATTTTGAATTACCTTTGGCACAGCACAGTAACTGTTGTTTTTAATGATCATTATCTCTTGTGAATGTCACACTGCATATCTCTTGATCTCTTTTTAAAACTTGGTAAAGAAATTTTGTCAACAAAACAGTAAGATTCCTAGAAAGTCTAACATGTCATCCAGGTGTTGGCTAACGTACAATCATATAGCCACTAAATGCTACCATTTACCAGCTCTTGAGTTATCATTATCTTTATAAAGGACACAGTGCCTTCCTTTAGTTATCTTTATTTTTTCAAAGGTATATGAACAGTCATTAATATTATACATGCRTTAGCGTGTAGTAGATTAGTTTAACTAATAGCCATAGCTATAGCTGTGCTGTTGTTATCCATATAATAGCATAATACCTACAAAATAGAATGGCTTTGTTTGTTATACGAGGATCTTGAAGAGAGGTCTATACCACTTCCCCACTCCTTCCCGGCTGAATTATTAAGTGGTACTTCAGGATTGAGACAAATACTAAATAGATGTGGGTTTTTGCATCAAATATTGGGGAAAAGTTATTAATGTCCAGAAGCACCTGTATAAAGTTGAATCCCTTGTGTGAATTATTTATTTGTTATGTTTCAGAGTTTTAGATTACATTTAGATTTTTTAGATAATTTCACAAATGACTGAATAAAAAGACTTTATAACCACAYGTTTTTGTCAATATAAATAATAATATTGTTTAGTCCCTTTGGCAGTGAAAAAAAAAAGCCATCCAGATCAATGTTGAAGACAAAACAACAGATATTTTGAATTAAACATGATCAAAAAGTATAGTCTTTATTTTATGGGAGAGTGAATTYTGTTGTTTTGACCTGCAGATTGGTTTGGATTAGAAAATAAAGCAGGGGGTMTTTTCTATTATTCTATATGTACTCATGTCTCATTTACTCTCAATAGACATTGGCTAAGAAAGCTGAAGAACTCAGAAAAAATTATACGTATGAAAAAGGCCTTTCCAGTGTAAGTACCATAGCTRGCCTATAGCAGTTCTGCTAGCCATAGGGGAGGGAGCAAGAGACTCAGTGATGGAAGAAAGGAAACAGAGAGCAGGAATAGAGATATAATGAATGAATAAATGAATGAGTGAAAGAAAGAAGAATGAATGAATGAATGAATGAATGAAATAATTAAAAAAAGAAAGAAAGAAAGGAAGGAAGGAAGGAAAGAAGAAAGAATTAATAAATGAACAGGAAAGATATCTAAAGCAAATGTGTGCAATCAACAACAAAAGAAGAGGAGAACTATGGAAAAGAAAGAAAGAAAGAAAGGAAGGAAGAAAGGAAGAAAGAAAGAAAGAAGGAATGGATGAATGAATAAATGAATGAAGAGAGAGAAAGAAAGAAAATAAGAGAGAAAGAAAGAAAGAAAGAAAGAGAGAAAGGAAGAAAGAAAGAAAGGAAGAAAGAAAGAAAGAAAGAGAGCAAGAGAGAAAGAGAGAAAGAAAGAGAGAAAAAATGAGGAGAGAAAGAGAGAAAGGAAAAAAAAAAAGACAAGAAGGAAGAAATGAATGAATGAATGACTGAGTGGTTGGCTTTATTGAAAATCAAATGAGGATTATAATTCTGGTCCTTAAAACAATCATCTTACTACAAAATATATTGCTTTTATTAGTTTCAGTATTATGACAGTAAATACCTACTAGGAGAAAACCACCTGGACTTGGTGAACGTACCTTCATTTGCTGATAAACTAATTAATTTAACCTATAGTACTGTGCACATACCTACAGATGTATATAATGGAAGTAAGTCCTAAAATGAGTTTCTAAGTATCATTAATAATAATTTGTAATGAGTTGATGTCTGGCAACTTGTGTCCTAATATACRTTTTAGAGAAACTTGCACTTTTAGCTGGCAAAAAAGTTGATCATGAAAAAATTATTAATTATTACTGTAAACCCAGGGAAGATCCAGGATGTTTAAGCACCCGACTCTCATCAATGAAACCTGAGTTGGAGTCCCACTGGGTTCATTGTTGTATGTGAATAGATTTTCTGGTTGGTTTTCTCCAGTGTTTTGAGGTCACAAGCAAAAAAGAATCCTTTGCCAAATTCAGTTCTTCCCAAGCCCTAAATCTGCCCTACACTGACAGAAAGTAATACATGCATTAAGTGCTGGCTTTAATTTCATTAAAGCTTGCACAACTGCAAGTCATTACATTTTTTCAATTTGCATTGCAGACCCCCACAGTATCCCATGATGCACCATCACAAGGATTTATAATACTGATTGAGTGACCATTGATTTATAGCTAGTTTTGGTTCTTTTCAGGCGAAGTCATACTCAATTCAGCAAAATGGACTCAACCAATGAACAAATTCTTTAAAGAAAACAGGGAACAGACACCATCATTGCTTTGGCAACTACTTGGTACCTCAAACGGCGTGTACAGATTTTATCCAGGTTAGTGAAAGACTGGATCATTCTGTAGCAGAGCACTGTTGTCCGAAACTCCTGGTGCGTGGGATTCCAGGGAAAAAGTTACAAATAACAGGGGTTTGAGATATCCGAGTATAGTTGTGGTAATCACCTGACACAAGTCTGGAACGTGTTGCGTGACTAACAATGACTTGTTCTGGGGATGCTATCTCAAGCTCAAGAGAACATGAAGTTAGGTCACTGCATGAAGTACCCAAAATAGGGGTAACACTTGGATTGTGTAAAAGCAATATACTCGAAATGTTTTAAAAATACCAGCATTTGTTAAAATRGAGCAAAATTTCATGGTTATTGTTACATGTTTAGGCTTTAGTACATGTACAACCCAATCTTTAACAATAGAATATATATGTGCATAGGGCTATGACAGCAGGTCAGTCACTGGTCATGWTGAGGGGCAAAATGGCTTTTAGCTTTGTCAAACTTATTTCTGGCTCAACGTTACTCGTRTAAATAACCAACTAGGCAAATATTTGGCCGACAGCTCCAATTCTGGCCAGCTATTGTCCGATGACCTGCKGTTATTTTTAGCATGTGTACACATGCTCAGCAACTGCATGCCATCATGCTTTTATCCAACCTTCCTACTCATTACAATTTCTAGAAAAAATTATGCTCTCTACCGCATGTTTTTATTTAAGATATTGATATATTTGATTTTATGAACTATTTATTCTTTTTTTAGGTGGTCAAAATCCTTATTTTTTTGTCTGTCTCATCTCCAAGTGTTTAAAAAAATAATGCCATATCGAGTTTTTATCTTTGTTTATTCGTTTAGGTTACAAATGGCCAAGTGATAATAGCAATGACTTTTATGATCACCGTAGAAGAGGATGGTAAGAACCACGGATCATTACTGTAGAGTCCTGTTATCTCAAACATCCTTGGGGACAAGGAAAAAGGGTTGAAAAATTGAGGGTTCAAGATATCCAGGGTAAAAATCTATAGAATGTGGCCTCAAGCTCGAGATAACAGGATGTTTGAGATATGAAAAGCGCCCCAATTAGAACGAAAGCGCTGAACGACTAGACTCTTAAATAAAGAGATTAAATGTATATTTTTTATGAAACTCAAATTGACTCATCAACCTTTAAAAATAATTTTATATTTTCCTTAGCTTTCGACCGACACGGTCATCCTCAGAGGAACTAAAATACGTTACGATATTAACAAAACCTACGCGATCAAACGTTGTACAAATGCGCGAGCAAAAGAATCGCGCGCACAAACCTGAAAGCACGAGCATTGAAAATCACAAAAGATTTACGTAATTTGCTGGCAGAATTCTGCCACTGTCTCTATTAAAACCTTTGCGACGTATATTTTTTAGTTTATATTTTGGGTTTGAACAGGGTTTCAGTGAATCGACACTAGGAGATTAATTAATGAAATAGATACCTTAGCAAAACCATTGGTCTTATTTCAAAGGTACATACAAGGATCCAGCTCACCTAAAGATATGGTTATATTACTAGACCTGTAAGTACCATTGATTATTTAAAATATTAATAGTTCATTATCATGATCATTTTCATTCTTTCTATGATCTATTTAAAGTGCTACTCTGACGAAAATCGCTCAAACTTGGATTCAGYTGAAACTTCCTAAKAATAMTCTTCCAATAATCACTGTATGAAGTGTTTTCTCGATATTCAGGACGAAASTATGATATTTTACGATTATTTTTGGGAGTCTGTGACGTCATASWCTCAACATCGAACATCGCTSCATAAATTTCTTTGTAGTTTATGATCAAAATATCAGTAGTAAAGGGAGAAAGAAATACCCAAACACCCCAAAATATAAATTATAGTCACAAGTAWTGTGAAATAAGCACATTAGCCACCCTTTGGGCTTCATAGGAATAAAATACATTAAGGATTTATATAAGGAAGGGAAGAAAAAATGATAACAGAAAAAGAAACGAAAAGGGGAAAGAAAATAATAGGATGAGAAATAATTATCCAAAAAGCGAAAAAGAAAAAAAAGATKTTTAAAAATTTTTTCTGTGTTTAATTTTTGCTTTTCTTTCCCTGGATTTCAAATGGATGAAAAACTGCGTTAAGTTTTTGATCGCTGTTTAAGAACAGTCTAATTGAAATGYCATTTTCTTATTTCCTCCTTTTGTCGAACAAGGAGTCTTATTTATTGTTGCTACTTAGGGAAAGACTCCTCAAACGAGCCTAATTTGGATAACTTTATACGCAATTGTCCTAATACCTTCTTATCTTCCAAAGYGGAAAAAAAGGTTGAAATAAACCCTGGATTAGGATTAACCTATATCCTCAAAAAAAAACCCATTAACCATCCATTAAATTGATTATCAAATGACGTTACGTTTATTCGAGATTAATAGGGATTTCGTATCGAAAGAATTGCAGTTAAAAGGCCTCTCTTTACATTGTTAACAAGGCGGTTTATTTAAAGCTATACGCATTAAGAAGAGGTCTTCGCAAGACGCCCTTTTCAAGGGAGGAGCGCATAAACGCTTTTCTGTGACTTATAATGATTTTTTAATGTTTTTTACTTTTTTTAAAAATAATTCCTATGAGGTCATTGTTTACTCAGCCGTCATTCGTTTGTTTCTTTCCTACTCATTTGAACTCATTCCTTTTCGTTCATTTTGTTTATTCAGTCCCTATTGCTATTCAAAATTTCCGGGACTCACATGAGCGTAGTCTCCCCCACAGCCGCTTTCAGTGTCGTCACGCAACGGTTTCTCCCCAGAGTAGCGACACTGAAAGCGGCTGTGGGGGAGACTAACATGAGCGTTGATCTCCAACCTTTCTCGTTTCAAACCAGTATTTTTCGGATGCAAAACCCGGATACCGCGCAGCTCGTATAGAGCCTCAATCATATCCCATCYCCCGGCCTTCACCCTTAACAATTCACATATCAAAACTTCAACTTGTGCCACACGGTTATTAACCCCGTTCCCCTCGTTAAAAATGCTTTGAGGGGGAAAATGGATGATTACCATATTTTTTCTATTGTTGTGGGTAAAAAACAAAATGGCTCGTCGCCAGGCTGATTCATAAGTGCGAGCAAACCCTCTTTTCCTTCTTAACTCTTTCTCTTTCCATCTTTTCAGTGCCACACAAAATGGGAAATATGAATCCCCCTACTGAGGTCCTATGGCGCAGTGGTTGCTAAAATCATGGCGCTTTTGTGCCTTCAAATAAAACTCCTCTCAACGTTTTTCTGTGTTCTACTTTTTGATAGGAGCGGTAGTATGGTTGGTAATAAACTAGCGATTGTTAAACTGAGTGCTACTATCTTGTTGGACACTTTACAAGAAAACGACTTCGTTAACATTGTGACCGTAAGTAACGTAACCAAGCTGCGATAACGGTGCTACTATCTATTCTAATGGAGCGTGAAAAAGGCTTTTCCCTATCCTACCAACCCATCCCCCTCGTGTCACTTCGCGCCACTTTTGGACTGCTTATCTGTAARGTTCTCTTTGTGTTACGCTTTAGTGACTGGTATTTACCATTAGAGTGCGTACCATATATTCGTGATAAAGTTAACTAACAAAATTGTACAAATGAGTCGAACGTTTCGTAGGTCTAYGGTCTACTGAGGTTTAACTTCTTCCTTTCTATCAATCTCACTACAGTTCAACAAAGGATCAAGAATGCTTTGCGAAGAGTTAGATGTTATAAAAAATGTAAGTATTGGACGAACACACCTTAAGAGTTCCCTTCCTTGACTAGGATTTTTCACTTTGTTCCAAATTTAGGTCGCGTTAATACGGGCAACTAAAATACTCTAGTTTCGAATTAGGGTTAGCCTCATTTCAGTGTCTAAATATTCACAAACTGACCAACTGAGCCCAGTTCTACAAAGGCTGGATAGCGCTATCCGGCGGATAAATCCTTATCCAGTGGATAAGTCGATGCTGTTATCCAATAAATTTATTCACTGGATAAGATTTATCCGACGGATAGCGCTATCCAGTCTTCGTACTACCGGGCCCAGTAAAGTAAAGTATGCAAGGCAACAATGAGCCAGTTCGTAGTTTAMGAATCGTTTTCAGTGCGCATACGATTTTATCCTAAATTTCTCACCTTTTGTTTATTTTACTGTTGGTCAGTTTGTGAATATTTAGACACTGAATTGAGGCTTACCCTAAGTAAATGAGTCTGCGATCATGAAACACAGCGGTAATTTGGTAACTCGAAAAAGTTTAATATCGCAACATTATTGCTTTGTAAAATAAAGAGCAAATATTGAGCGCAATATATTTTTCCCTGCAAAGAGTATAGAGAACCTCTACTTCGTTCAACAAGGTAAACGTTTGCGATGGTCGGTAATATGAAMAACAATCGCAACCCGCGCTGTGCGACAATTTGGGATGGGATAAAATAAACCTCAAAACAGTTTTACCAGYAAAGTTATACAAACTGGAGGTTAAACGTCGAAACTACACTTGAGCCGAACGCACTTAAAAAAAATGATAAGGCTCTCTTCTTTCTTGTAACTAGCTTTGAAGTTCCAAGTCTGAACTTAGTCTAACGAATCATTTTTTTTATTATTATTATTTAGTCTAAGGTAGCCAACGCAAAACCCTGCACAAAAGACCGATTGCTACAAGCCACGATACAGAACAAGAAGGTATATTACTGCTTGGTTTACGCACAATTAGATTCACCGCGGTCAAGAGTTATTGCTGATGACTCATGATAACCCACCCTCAATATTACCTAAGGACTCGATGTATCATCAACTTGAATCTTGTCAAACCCTGAAACGACCTCTGGATTGATCTGCGTCAGGGCACGRCTMTCTCGCAGATCACACCCTGAAACAACCTCTGGGCTGATCTAAGTCAGGGCACGGCTAACTCACAGATAGAACCTTGAAACAACCTATGGGCTGATCAAAGTCAGGGTATGGCTATCTCTGAAACATCTTCTGGGCTGATCTATGTCAGGGCACGGCTAATTAATAGTTGAACCCTGAAACAACCTCTGGGCTGATCAAAGTCAGGGCACGGCTAACTCACAGATCAAACCCTGAGACAACCTCTGGCTGATCAAAGTCAGGGCACGGCTAACTCACAGATTGAACCCTGAAACAACCTCTGGGCTGATCAAAGTCAGAGCACGGCTATCTCTGAAACAACTTCTGGGCTGATCTATGTCAGGGTACGGCTAACTCACAGAGCAAACCCTGAGACAACCTCTGGATTGATCTGAGTCAGGGCACGACTAACTCGCATCGAACAATGAAACAACCTCTGCGCTGATCTAAGTCAAGGCGTGGCTAACTCACGGATCGAACCCTAAACAACCTCTGGGCTGATCTAAATCAGGGCACGGCTAACTCACAGATCAAACCCTGACACAACCTCTGGAGCTGATCTAAGTCAGGGCACAGCTAACTCTCAGATCGAACCCTGAAACAACCTCTGGGGTGATCTAAGTCAGTCGGCCCACATAAAACCCCAAAACTAGTAAGAGACCCAACTCTCTTCACACTTGATGTCGAGGAAACAAACGAAACGAAACGAATAGTTTACCATTGAAATTTGTTATTATGTTTGGTTTACAGTATTTAAAAGAAATGGTGTCCCACGTAGAAGCTAATGAAGTCGCAGAAGTCAGTGAAGGATTTAAAAAAGCCATCGATCTTTTGAAGGTAGGGCACAAGGGTCAATTTTAGAATAGTATCCTTCACAGTTACCTGCGCCATCTTGAAAGGTAACCGTGCCTGTGCAGTAGAAGCGAAAATGACCTC